CGCTGGATCTTGTGTATTGTATTATTTGGCCCCCAGCAGCACCCCCATTTATGCATGTTAAGGTGAGTGCAGCCAACCCCCTCTTGTTTTGTTTTATTTATATATATATAAAAAAAATTATTTTTTTTATTTAGTTTTTTTGTGTGAATTATGGATCATCAGATCTTTTGGAGGTGCGGAAAAAGGTGGGAACTGTCCTCCACATATTTAGGTCCTGCCCACTCATAAAACCTTACTGGGAACGAATATACGAGGCAATGTGGAACGTAGCTGATAGGGAGGTTGCTTTTGACCCGGCAGATATCTTATTGAACAGATCGGAACTACCCAAAACGACATATAAGAAAACAATATCTCGTCGCCTACTAACGGCCGTTAAATCGCTGATCCCAGTTCTGTGGTGATGAAGAGAACCTCCAACGCCATGCCTGGCTCCAAAGAGTGGAGGAAATCAGACAGGTGGAAGCAGTGCCGGTGCTAGGATTTTTAGTTACACAGGCGAACATGCATTTTGGTGCCCCTCAATCTCCTTTAAAAAAAAAAAAATGCATCTTCACCTGTGTGTATTTCCTCCCAAGCCACAGGCATAATTTTTCAGTCACACAGTCAAAGTCATACAGGTACACTGTCATACAAACACAGACATAATCATACAGAGACATTTAGACACATACAGTCAGTCAGAGACATACAGACATACAGGCAAAGACATACATGCATACAGAGACATGAAGGCATATAAAAACATGCATACATACAGAGGCATACCGTCATACAGACACATACATACATACAGAAACATACATACAAAGACATCCAGGCACATACATACATTCAGGCATACATAAACATACAGGCATGCAGACACATACATACATACAGGCATACAAAGACATACTGCCATACAGACACATACATATATACAGGCATACAGAGACATACAGGCATACAGAAACATACATACAAAGACATACAGGCATACATACAGAGACATACAGGCATACAGAAACATACATACAAGACATACAGGCATACAGACACATACAAACATTCATACATAGAGAGGCAAACCGTCGTACAGACATACATACATAAACATACATACAAAGACATACAGGCATACAGAGACACACAGACACATACGTACATACAAAGACATAAAGGCATACAGTTACACACATGCATACAGAGACATATATACAGACATTCAAAGACAAACAAACATTTAGTTACATGCATGCATACAGATACATGCATGCATACAGATACATGCATGCATACAGATACATACATGCATACATGCATACAGAGACATACATACATAGAGATAGATACATACATAGAGATAGATACATACATAGAGATAGATACATACATACATACAGAGACATACATACAGAGACATACATACACACACACATACAGAGACATACATACATAGACATACATACACACACACATACAGAGACATACATACATAGACATACATACACACACACATACAGAGACATACATACAGAGACAGACATACATACATACAGATACATACATGCATGCATACAGAGACATACATACATAGAGATAGATACATACATACACACACAGACATACATACACAGACATACAGACATACACACATACAGAGACATACATATAGAGACAGACATACATACATACAGATACATGCATGCATACATACAGAGACATACATACAGAGACATACATGCATACAGAGACATACATACAGAGACATACAGAGACAAACATACATACAAACAGAGACATACTGACATACATACAGAGACATACACACATACAGAGACATACACACATACAGAGACATACATACATACAGAGACATACAGAGACATACATACATACATACATACATACAGACATACATACATACAGACATACATACAGACATACATACAGACATACATACAGACACATACATACAGAGACATACACAGACATACATACATACATACAGAGACATACATACATACATACAGAGACATACATACAGAGACATACATACAGAGACATACATACAGAGACATACATACAGAGACATACATACAGAGACATACATACATACATACATACATAGACATACATACAGAGACATACATAGAGACATACATAGAGACATACATACAGAGACATACATACAGAGACATACATACAAAGACATACAGAGACATACATACATACTGACAGAGACATACATACATACATACAGAGACATACATACATACAGAGACATACATAGAGACATACATAGAGACATACATACATACATACAGAGACATACATAGAGACATACATAGAGACATACATACTGAGACATACAGAGACAGAGACATACATACATACATACAGACAGAGACATACATACATACATACTTACATCTGTTAAATCTTGTCCCCTGGGTGCATGCTGTCCGGCTCTGTGGAGTCCAGTCCTGCAACCCAGCCCCATCACAGGGCGCCAGCCGCGCTGTGTGGGACACAGGGAGCAGGGATATGATGTCATTCATATCCCCGCCCCCTCCACACAGCCTGCGGCAGACACCAGGATAGGAGGTGGGCGGGCCTGAGGCTGAGCTCCGCGGGCGGGAATCTCTGGGCTGCGCTCGGCCACTCTACAAGTAGTAACCAGCTGGAGGGGAGCCAGGTGCGCTTCCCTCCTTCCTGTCTGCCTGATGTCGCGCCCCCAGGGCTGGTGCGCCCTAAGGCGGCCGCCTGGGCCGCCTTATGGTAGCGCCGGCCCTGGGTGGAAGCAGAAATAGTGGCGGTGAGTGGAAGACTGGAGAAACACGAGATCTGGAGGACGTGGACGTACTACCTGTGCATAAGAGATGAACCTGGTAATCGACCTACTGAGTAAGCGGATGGAAACGTCTCATACTGGGAGACACTGGCTCTGAACATGCTTGAGACGAGGTGAGCAGGTGCAGCCTGTGAGACTGGGGTCACGCAATCCAACCTACCCCCCTTCATCCTTCCCCCATACATATTATTTTTACTTTATTCCTCCCCTCTTTTTTTTTTTTTCTTCCCATCTCACCTTTTCTGCTCTCCCCCTCTCTCTCTCTCCATCCTCTTTCTCTTCTCTTTCTTTACCTCCTTTTGCTTACAGCAGACCCAACATACTATACTTGCCTCATATTGCTCATTTACCTTTTCTGTCTTTCAAGCCAAGGCTGACACACCAATATCAATAGACTCACGCTAGGGGCTATTCTTTAGGATACACAGATTGGAGGTATTCACACCACTCTCATGCAAGAAGGAAATAATCTCATGCCCCATCCTATGGGTATAATCCATATGAATGACCGCACAGGAGAGACTTAGTTGAGGGACGGACTACTCCCTTGACCCATACAACACCGGGACTACCGGTAAATGAAAGAAGCATACATGGGGAAATGACAAGGGAAACCCTAGAATGAGAAGACCAGGCACCTTAGCACTACTATGGAATTATAATACCGCTATACTTCAGCTTCCAAGTGCAGCACAGTGGGCCTCAGAGAACAGGATAAAATGTGGTTGTGTGAAAGAGCCCACCTATAGGTGGTCCTTTTACTACTGTAAGAATTTATACTGTGACCCAAAAACCATTACGTACACATGGCAAAGTGGAAACTACTTGAGGGGTATACTTCCTCGAATTTATGTAACATACCAATGTTATTCAAATGCTTTCCTATTTCTTATTTCTGTATCTCTAACTAACCTTGGAAAAAAATAAAAACCATTATATTGTTTTTTTTTGTTTTTTTTTTTTGTGAGGGGTGGGACGGGATATTAATTAAAAAAAAAAAAAGTTTGTGATATTTATGAAATATTTTTAATATTTTAATTACCCAGTAAATATTCTTATAGGGTTCTTTCCAGACAGATTAAAGATAAGCAGTTTACTGTTGAGAGAAGTTATCAAATCACAACAATGGCAGCAACAAGGAGTTAGATGCCTTGTTGTTATTGAATTCTTTATTTACGAAATTCCATCAATGCGTATAAAAAGAAGCTAGAGGCATTTTAATGGAATAGAATATGCAGAGTCCTAATATAAAAAAATAGGTAATTGTTTCAGAGATGAGTCCATTTGTCATTTTGCACATGGAGGCATCTTTAGAAATCACTACAGTCTTATTTTGCATTTTTCTTTTTTTTTTTTTACTTTCTCAATAGCTTTGTGTTGTGATGTTCTTTTGGAACAGTATGACTGACGTATTCAATGCTTTGTCATTTTTCTCTAGGGTTTTAGAAAAATCTGTAGTGAATTGTACAAAGACTATGAAGACCATTTCTTTGGCACGGAGCAGTTTACAAGAATTGACCTCTGTTCTATGCACAAGAAAAACAAGGTGTCTGGTTACTATTATTGTGAATGTTCAATAATTATTGATATAATCACAACAAAAGAAACAAAAGAAACAGAAGAAAATGAGACGGTTCAAGGGTCAAATAGTCACTGTGTAAATCTTGCAAACTGTGATGCTGTAGAGGCTTCAGAAGGAAAAACATAAGCATGAGCAGTAGGGTGGGCTTCTAGGCAGAACTCTTTTTTTCGCTTTAAAAAAAGATAAATATACAAATTCAACAATGGAAGACACCTATTGTATTTATTATGCAGCCTGAGACTCAATTTCTCACGTTTAATAAAAATTTTATTTAAAGATGCAAACAAAAAAAATTTGATTCAAAATACATATTGTTTTGCTCTGTCGGCTATAATCATTTTTATGAACTTTGCCTTCAGCCAAATAATTTCTAAATGAAAATGATCAGAGGATTATTTACTTACAGGTCTGTTTATTGAAGAGCATTTTTTTTCCAATTCAACTTCAAATTTATGTGTTTCACGTCACAGAGGTGCAATTGCATATGTATCAGCATTTAAGAGCCATTTATTTAAGTGCAGGTATAGACCTAAATGGGTAAAATGGGAGGTGGGCATTTAATCGTGTATTTGTTTGTGGCTGGACATAAATCTTGTCTAGCCTATGAATAGTAAATTCTTCACGATTTTGATTCAGATGAGAAATTTCCATTTGATGCATAAATGAAAATTAAAAATCAAGAGGGATAAGCGGCTTAATGATGCAAATGCTAATTAGCTGAATGAAACCTGCTCCAAGTCAACACCTGATCTAATTCCAGTGGAACCAACATGATCATCAGCTGTGGATGAAGATACTGAAAACTAAATCTGACAGCTAAAAATCTATTGCCAAAGATTTTTGCTTGCATGAGCTAATAAACATAAAACTTGGGTTCAAATAATCTGTTGTGTGTATTCAGTGTTTAGCAGCGCAGTGCCAACTAATAAAGAAATGTCAAGAGATGCATTACAAAGTTTAGAGAATTATACAATGTGTCAGCTGCCATAAACTCTGGGCTGTTTGCAACTCCCGAATGGATTACATAACTATTTTAATAAATTGTCTTCTTCAGAGTGTCCTAATGAAATCTTAAAATAGCCATCTGTAAAATCTGGCTGATTTCATTTTAAGATAAAAAATAAATAAAAATAAAATTAAAACAAGAAAAAAAAACCGCATGCAATTTTACCCTGGATTGATTCATTGTGTTGCTTCACACAGTCATGGGTGAAGTTTGATTACCATTTGCATCCCATTGTGGGCAAATAAGGCTGCAAAGAGAAGTGTCTTTGTACTAAATTAGAGATAAGCTTAACCCCTTAAGGACACATGACGTGTGACATGTCATGATTCCCTTTTATTCCAGAAGTTTGGTCCTTAAGGGGTTAAGGGCGATTTTTAAGGTTTTGAGATTGTTCTCGGATAAAATAATTCTGAGAAGTAAAATGAAGTTCATTTGTGTGATTTTTTTTTTTTCTTTTTCTTTTAGCACTATATTATACACAAAATATTATACATTTATGCAAATGATGCTGGCAGCTGCCAAAAAGACAATCCTTCATACCTGGATATGGTCAGCCCACCCAACTCATGTTGTTAAATTAGACTAGGGTGAAGCCTCCTGAAATAACAATCACAGAGTTTCCCAACTCTAACTCTTGGGTATCACAGTATACAATCCCTAGATTTACACCACAAAGATTTTCTTCATAATTTTTTTTTTTTCTGTTAGAAGTTTTTTTCTTTTTCATGTTTCAGGAGGAGGGGGGTCCAGAAAAGAAAAATGGGATGGTGGTGAGGGGGAGAGATGAGACACAATATCACAGTTTTTGTAATTGTTAATACATCAATTGATACATTAATGACAAGTCTGTGAGCCGAGGCATCCTTAGAATAGGTACATTATTATGTCTAGAGACCACAGTTTACAGCATAGTACAACATGCAGTTTAGTACAATATAGTAGAGCATAGTAAAGAGCCTCCCTCTTAGCATTTGAGGGTTTAGGGAGCCACCTTTCGGTTGTCTGTTATCTGACATTAGTGAGATTATGGGTTCGGCTTCGTTGAGGCTCTCATCTTCTGTGATCCTGAGGTGTTATGAGTTACACAGTTACGTATATGTACATCCATAGATAGGCTAGTTAGCCACCAATCTCACCATGTCCCACAAGGACCTAGCCTTCGTGGTAATGTGTGTGGTGGAGAAAACTGAGGGGAGACCTCTCTCGTAAGCCCGTTGTTTATCTATGTCTGCTATCAGCGTTGAGAGTGTCAGGGGAGTAGGTGATTTCCAGGTTCTAGCAATTAATCATCGAGCCATGAGAATAATATGCAATATCAACTTTTGTGTGGCCCTGTTAAGGTACTCGCGTAGGTCTAGCAAGATGAATGTAGTTGTCTCAAGGGGAAGGACGGCCAATGCCATTTTCCCTATAAGGTCTTGAACCAAGTGCCAGTATTGCTGCAGAGCCGGGCAGTGCCACCAAACTTGTATCATCTTGCCTTCGTCTCCGTTACATCTCCAGCGCTGATATTGGGTATTGGGGTATATTTTGTGTAGTTTGGTTGGAACTAAGTATCACCTATGGAGTACTTTGCGGAATTGTTCTAGGTGGACTGAGGATTTTATGAGGCTAGTTCTTTTCCACTTGGTTTGTGGGATCATGGCTCCGAGTTTGATTTACCACTGTTTGGCATAAATGGAGTCATAGAATGGCAAGTAGCCAGAAAGTAGTTTGTAGCACATGGAGGTGGGTTTACAATGAGGTGGGAGAGCAGCGTTTATGCACTCCGTTATCTCAATTGTAGACCTTGTGAGGGGATGTCTGCAGGTTATGTTAATGTAAGAAGGGATTTGAGCTGTCTGTAGGAATAATACGAGGTCGTGGTAGTGAGAATTTTCTAGCAAGGGCATTAAAATTCAACAGACTACCTTGGTGGTACAGGTGAAACGGGTGGGTGGCGTCAGCTTTCAGCCATGGGGTGTGTTGGAAGGTGGGAATATAGTATGTGATTTTGGATGGGTGTTGCTAACGAAATAAAGTCTGTGTGGCATAGTTTGCGCCTATGTTTATCCCAGATTCAAAGAACGGATTGAATCAAGGGAGAGGCAGCCTGGCATTTGGGCTGGATTGCTGTCAGGAGCCACAATAAACTAATACAATCATAGGGTTTCAAGCTTTTGGTGTACCCACTGTAGTGGCAATATTTTAATGAATAGTGGCATAGCCGTAGCCAGCACTGTAGCATAGTAGTAGAGTTAGATGTTTAGAACCGCTAGCCTCCCTAGTTTTACCGGAGCCTGCATGATCTTAGTGGCGACTCCAGGTCTACCACATGCCCATACGAAAAAGGGTTATATCTGCTCTAATAGTTTTAAAATATGTTTTAAAGGCAGCATACGAAACAGGTATTGTAGTTTCGGGAGTATGGACATTTTGAGTGCTATAATGCGTTCAGACCGGACTTGAATATTGGGGCCCACTTAAGTAACAGAGTTGTTTGCATGACCTCCTCAGTGTAATATAATGAGCTGAGAACAACTCTGCTGGGTTCCTTGTAACGGTAATCCCCAGATTAATTTATGTTCAACTTTTATTACTTTCACCTATCTGATCTTTATCATGCCCTCCTATCTTTAAATCTCAAATGTCCTCTCATCTTCTTTGTTCTCTTAATTGCCCTTTCTCACTTCAACATCTGCATGTCTCTCTCCACCCATAATTGATGGGGTTTTTTTTAATCTAACCCCAGACTTTATATTTCAGTCTGAGCCCCAACAAAGAAACTGAACATTTGCTCTCAGGACACACAGCTAGCAAATCTTGCAGCTCAAAAGCCTTATGTGGAAGTAGCATCTCTGGAAGGTTTTTCCCACCTACCCTGCCCCACACCCCAACTTCCCCATGGTACTCACTATATTTATAGATTGTTCAAATCACCTAGTCTTCCAAACACACCAATCATGTCTATCATCTTCTCCTCACCTGTAACACCTCCATTCCCACACCACAGACCAGTTAACCCTTCACCCCTCCACACACTCGTATGATCCTAGCTGCCCTTATAATATCATCATCTATAAGAAAACACTACTTAACAATGTTCTCGCTACTATTTTTCAATTTCACCCTTGCTTTTCTAATTACTAAAATCTCTCTATCTTTCTGCTTACCTGTCCGTAATAACACCATATTCATTGCTCATGGTTTACTTCCCTCCTTTCTCTGTTCATCTCATACACTATACTCATACCTATCCACCCTTTCTCCTTCTGAAACCCCAAAATACAAACATTCAACAAAAACATTTAACTCTTACTCACACATTCTCTTACTTTCTATGCTTCTGCTCCTGGCAGCTGACAATGTCTCTCCAAACCCTGGTCCCGCCTCTACCTACCTACTTTGTGTCCAATCCAGAAACCTCTCCAATATTATATACATCCCATGTAACTCTCTCATTAAGCCCTCCTTCCATTCTGCCATCTGGAATGCACGTTCTGTGTGCAACATAACTAAATCTACTTCTATTCATGACCTCATTCATTTCACGCTCCCTAAACTTACTTGCTTTAACTGAAACTTGGCTCTCTCCTTCTGACACAGCTACCCCTGCCTCATTATCCTATGGTGGTCTACAGTTTACGCACAACCCAAGACAGTCAGACAGTAAAGGTGGCAGTGTAGGGTATCTTTTTTCTCCCCCCTGCTCCATCAAATCTCTACCCACCCCCCTTTCCTCTCTTTCTCCTACTTTGAAAGTCACTCAATTTGCTCTTTCAAAGTCATATCTGTAAACATTGCAGTTATTTATAGGCCCCCAGGTTATCCTCCTCTCTTCTTTGACCATTTTGCAGCCTGGCTTCCTTACTTTGTCTCAAGCAATAACCCATCCCTAATTCTAGTGTTTTCAGCATTCCCACCCTTGTCCTCAGTAGCCTCAAAACTTATTTCAATCACCTCCACCTTTGGGCTATCGCCTGATTTGATTGTTATTTCCTGTCCTAATGTGATTCCTCTGGGTGCATTAGATATAGCAGAATATCATCAGTAAACTAACTTATTTTAACGTGGGTAATCCCTAGTTGTGCCCCATGGATACTGACATGATCTCTGATAGTTTGTGGTAACTAGCAATGGTGAGAGAGGACACCCCTGTCTCGTCCCATTTTTAATACAGAATAGTTTGGACACGAAGCCTCCCTGAATCACCTGTGCGGTGGGGGTGTCATAGAGTGCAAAGATTTGTTGGACGGTGGTAGCAGGGAATCCATATTTGACCAGCATCTGTCTCAGGAAACTCAAGCCGAGGTGGTCAAACGCTTTCTCAGTGTCAAGTGCCAGTAGGAGGACGCCTCGTCTAGGTTTAGGGGGTTATCTAGCCTGTTTGGTCCTCATTCACTAGTAGTGGTATTAATTTGCCTATTCGGTTAGCGAGAATTTTTGCATATATCTTTGTGTCTGTGTTAAGTAGGGATATTGGGCGATAGTTTTTGCAAGAATCAGTCACTTTGTCAGGTTTGGGTATCGTGACTATGGTTGCCAAAACCATGTCTTTGGGTAGTTTCCCATCAGACGCTGTGGAATTGTAGAGTTCCTCAAGGTAGGGGGTGAGTATTGCAGAGAACTTATTATAGTAAGAGTATCTCATCGGTTGTGATCGGATGGAGTATGGACTCTTTTTGAGGTTGGGTGAGATGAGGTATGTGGACTGAGTCTAGGAAGGTGTCAATTTCAGCATCAGAGGGTGTGTGGACTATGGGGTCGTCGCTGTATAGGGAGGAGTAGAATGTAGTGAACTCCTGGCTCATGACCTGGGGTCCCATCTTTTTGGTTCCGTC